CCAATATCCCATCTATCCCTGCCCTCTGGCACTGGGAAGCCATTTCCCCTTGTCCTGGCACTCCAGACCCTGTAAATAGTCTTTCTCCATCTTCTTTCTCATCTGTCTTCAGGCCCTGGTCGCCTTCCTCATCTGCTTTCCCATCTCTGTGCTCCATAATTATCATTATGGATAATTAAAGTTATAGTTATATAGTTAACCCTCACTTCCCCTCAGCCCTGCAGCTCCCTCATATTTTATCATCCCACTTGTTGAGCTCCAGTGAAGCTGCTGTTTGGATATTGACATGTCCTGAGTGTCAAAAATTAGGGATAATTAAGAAGAGCACAACAGGATCATGCTTTGGCTGTTTGAAGGAGCAGCATTTTTAGATAATCTCTGACAGTGAAGCACATGGTAAAAGCAGGGAAGAAAATCCGCATAATTCCCAAGGAATTCAGTACAGAAGACCAGTAATAAACTGCTTGGGTTTGCAGCATTTTTCAGCAAATAAACATATTTTTATGTTTTATTTTCTTAGCACTGCAGCCTTGAAGGGATGGTTAGGGCAGCAAGAATGGGAAAAATAAGTCTTTTGAAAGCTGCTGCTGTTTGGAGTTTTACTGGGGGTTCTGTGGACATTTTTTAGAGCACCAGCAGCAAAATAACATATTGAGATTATTTTCATTTTTATTTCAATAACCCCTGGCTGGGGTGGGTTAGACATGGAGCGCTGGCATCAAGGCCACTGGTTAATGTGGTGTAAAACTGGCTCCAGGGAGTCAAACTCCTCGATTTCAAAGCCACCTTTGTGTCTCTGCTCCCCTCAGGTGACCTTTGGGTTACGTAGCATTCCAAACACACCATTTCCCGCCTTTTCCCAAGTATTCCTGGGATAAACACAGCAGCCAGAGGCACCCAGCTGGTGGAAAAACGAGGTCTTGTGGAGTTTGACTCTTGGGTTGCTCTCCAGCCTGGAGACCATCACTCCTTAAGAGAACTTTATTCCATGGGGTGTTTTTTCCACTGACCAGTGGACCAGTTTTTTCCAGTGCTGAGGTGGCACTGTGGCATTCTGGCTGGGATGAGGGATTCCATAAAGCAGGATATTGGCCTTTTTTAGGGCCTGATCTGGACCATGAGGTGCTCTGCACCCCTGCTGCTGCTTCTGTGGGATACCTTGAGCGGGTCCTGGAGACTCATCCGTGTCTTACCCCATCAAACCTGCCGAGGAAGAATTTTTTCCCCCTTGCCACTGGGAGTTTTTCATGGTTTTAAGTAAAATTGGCAAAACATGTTTTTATAGAAGCTGCTCTTAGTGGACAAACAGGGACCTCCATGATGGACCACACAGGAGGAACTTAGAAGGAAGGAAGAGCTTCCCTCGTGTTCATTGAGGTTGGAAATGCTGTTTTGGGAAGGATTCCAGCTTCTCTGTGTGGTCAGGTTGATTTTAACTCGTTTAGACATGGGGTTAAAATCTGTCTCTGGCACAGAAACTGGCCTGGTTTAGGGTTTGGTTTGGGTTTGGTAAAGAATTTGATTTATATCTAAGGGGAAATGATGATTTGCAGTGATGGTAACAGTTAATATGGAGCTTGGACTGGTGGATTCCCAGATTTCTATGTGTCCCATGGATGTTGTAGATGGATTCCCTGCTAGTTTTCACGCTGGTTTTCCAGGTCCAGCCCAGAAATTATTTTACATCCTGTTCTTCCATTCTAGCCATAAACCACATATTGACCCCCTAATCCAACAAAAACACTGTTTAAACCCATTCTCTCCAGCCTTCCTAATGTTGCATGACCATTTATAGGTCAGGTAATGAAACCCAATCCATAAATATTAATGAAAGAACTAAAGCCTTAAGAAAACCTTCAGTGATTAATTTCAGACGTGCCCCCCCAAAAAAAAAAAAGCAGAAAAACCAAACTACTTTTTTATCATTTATTTTTAATTAATTGGTTATTTTCTTGGGAAGAAAGCTCTTTTTGGAGCACTTAAACCTCTGATTTATCCTCTGCATTTGGGTTGCAAGCTTGGCTTGCTTTCTGTGTCCCCACAGCCCCCATTGCTGAAGATGCAACCCCTTACTGGTGTAGACTGGGGAAGTGTTTTATTCCGTAGGAAAATGGGGTGGCAGGGACTGTTCTTGGGTGATAAAGCAGCTCTGACCCCGGAGAGAAGCACCAGAAGGGCCTGAACGTTTATAAAAGTTACTTTATGAAACAACAACCCGGTTAGCATGACAAATACTCTAAATTTTGTGGCATTTATAATTCATCGATGCTGAGCCTTTATTGCCAAAGCTTATAAAATATACATTTGTGGCTCGCTGAGCGTTCCCAGCAGTTATTCCTTGGCTTTATCGTGGCTGTTCCCTTGAACTCTGCCTTGCCCAGACTTTGCTGCCAAACTGGGACCTGGATTTCTGCAGCCTCCGTTGGGTTTTCTCCATTTGAGTTCCATTTTTACCCTGGATTTCTGCTGTTTTCCACTGGGAAAGAAGGAAATGGGAGATTAGTTAATACAGTTTGCTCAGCTCTTCCAGCCAGGAATTAGTTTCTGTGTTTTGCTTTAATTTTGTCGTGGCCTGAAGGAGCTGTTTCTGAAGAAGTGTGCCCAGAAAACCACGGGATGCTTTGGCTTGAGTGAAATCTGAGCAAATAAACCAGCTTTTCTTCCCTGGACTTTGGGGGGAAATGCAGTGTTCCACCCAGAGTCCTTTCCTCCAGGGGGAAACTCAGTGCTGTGGTCCCTGGAGGTGTCCCAGGAAGGCCTGGCCGTGGCACTCAGTGCTCTGGGCTGGGGGACAAGGTGGGCATTGGGCACAGGCTGGATTTGATGACCTTGCAAGTCTTTTCCAGCCTTAGTTATTCTCTAAAAAGTCTAAACCCAAAAAGATTCAAGTTCTAAGCCCAACTTTGGCGTGTTAAAGTAGCTACCTAACTTTTTTAATTCCTTTGTGACTACAAAGGTGGGATGGGAATCTTTATGACCTATTTTAAAGGCTTTCTGGAAATTCTTTGACCAGTATATTTTGAGAAGAGCCAGGGAGGGATCAGGCTCTGCTCCCAGGGAACAAGGGACAGGAGGAGAGGGAACGGCCTCCAGCTGTGCCAGGGGAGGCTCAGGAGGAGGAATTTGTTGCTGGAAAGGGTGGTCAGGCCTTTGGGAGGACTCATGGGAATATACATAATAATGTTTGCAGTCATTAGATCTTTGGGTGCCTACAAAATTCCACTTGAGAGGATCTGATCCCAACACCTCCTAAAATCAGGCCCTTTCAAGGAGTCTCATCCTGGATGCTCAGAAATGTCCATCCTCAAATCTGCTCTCCAGAAACACCCCACGTAACAAGGAAAACTCTCTGAGTTCCTGTCCAGGGGCTCCTCCAGGATTTTTTTTCCTCTTTCCATTCTGGCACACGAAAAGAGGAAAAAATACAGCATTTTTTAGATCCAGTGGAGTCTGTTCAGGGTCAGGGCAACCCACAAGTTAGACCTCCTGACCCACATTCTCCTGTCCCCTTATTAGAAGTGCCGTGATAATATTCAGGATTTGTGGTTCTGGTAGAGAACTTTTTTTTTGGTGTTTTTTTTTGGTTGGTTTGGGGGGGGGGGTTGTGGGTTTTTTTGTGGGGTTTTTTGTTGGTTTTTTTTTTGGTTGGTTCGGTTTGTTGGTTTTTTTTTAATTTATTGATCTTCTGGAGAGTCTGAGGATTATTAATTACTAACCTGCTGCTTTTATTTATCCATATTTTTTTGTTTAGGTTGCTGCCTAACTAGATGTATTTTAATGTACTCACCTAATTCATTCTGTATTATAGTTCACTCAGATATTTTTTAGATTTTTTAAAATATTTTAAATATATTTTTATTTTTAATATGTTTTTATTTTTAATGTATTTTCATTTTTAATATATTTTTTATTTTTAACATATTTTTCTATTTTTAATACATTTTTCTATTTTTAATATTTTAATTTTTTATATATTTTACATTTAACTTTTTTCCTTTTCATTAATATCCCCGTGTGCCCAATGCTCCCAAACCAAAGAGTTGTTTTCTCCCATTGCTTTTCCATGAGCCCCTGCCTGTTTATTTTCCTGTGGGATCCTCCTGTCAGTCTGAAAGTGGCACCTAAAAGGTTGGGTGTAAAGACAGATAAATAAACACAGTAAATAAACACAATACCCTTGAAAGAAAACATCTCAAGCTTATCCAAATTCAAGGATTTGAATGAATTCCTCTCAAATCATCCCTGTTTTTACATTCTTTGGGATTAGAAGCCCTGATGGTCTTTGCTGAGGCTTCAAACAGCACCTGAGCCAGAGGGTTTGGGGGGGGCTGGGTATGAATGGAGAGTCTTTATTTAAAAAATATTGGGAAAAAAATATCAGGAAATGTTGGCTTTGGGTTTTTTTGGTGATGTAGAAATGCAAATTGCCTCTGCTGGGATGATCCAGGGGATGGAGGTGTTGATAAGCTGTGACATGGATTTAGCAAGGAATATTCCACACTAAGGCAGAAAAAACCAGGCAGATTAAACTACTGTAATAACAGGAGAAGAGAAAGAAAATTGTTTGTTGAATAAAGCCCTTGCTAGCAAAGCTGGGAAACCAGCAAAACCACAAGAAAAAAAAAAAGAAAAAAAAGAGAAGAAAAAGAATTATTGTTACAACAGACACATTATTGCAGTTTAGCTCGTGTCCTGTATTCCCTTATGAAAATTCCTCTGTCCTGTTGATGTGCTAAAAATGGATTTAGGCTGTGAGGATAATTCATCTGGGCAAAAGCTGGCACTGGCACAGCCTGAGGAAAAATGGGCAAGCCAGAAACTGTTGCAATTTAATCCTTACATCCCTTGACACAGGACAATCTTTAAGTCCCAGCCAGTGTCGGGCTGGGAGAAAATTGGTCTGGGGTGATTTTATCCCACAGAACTGCTGAAGGATCCCCTGGAAAACAGGCTCTGCTCGGGTTTGCTCGTCTTCATCTGTTTTTTTTCTCCCTTTACAGACACACTATGAAAGTGGAGAGTACATCATCAGACAAGGAGCTCGAGGGGACACCTTCTTCATCATCAGCAAAGGAAAGGTGAGCTCACACCCTGCAGGGCTGCTGGTGCTGCCCTGCTCCCAAAACTCAGCCCCAGCCTCTCCCTCCCTCCCTTCCCCCGGGCACAAATGTGGCAACACTTGACATTTAATTAAACTTCTGGCACTGTATCAGCAGAGGAGAGCGGCCTGAAGGGGAGAAAAATCAATCTGCTGCTGGTTTGCTCCCAGGGAACACTTTGGGGTCGAAAACAGTAGTTGAGTCTCTCAGTAAATGAGCAAAAAACCTCTGTTTTTTATTGCCACTATACCCTGCAATACTCAACTAAGAATCCCTCTTACAAGGCTGACTTCCAGACTTCATTCCCATGGCTACCCCTTCTCAGCTCCCCCAAATTGAATAATGGGAAGCCAGGGACGTCTGAGCTCTCTCCTTGGGGAAGGAAGAAGGTCTAAGTTTCTGTTCCACTGCTCACGGGGAAAATGGGCTTTATGACCTCTTTTCCCCTAAAATCCTGATGGGATTTTATACAAGGTTTTTTTTTTTCTTACCTTCAGCAAATTTCTACTATTTTTTTAGCTGGCCTAATACTGTTCCACTTGAGAAACACTGGGCTTCTTTCCACGGAGCAGGATGGAGATGTTCTCGGGAATACACAGTGATTTCCCACTGCAGAGGAGATGATACATGGCAAGGAAACACAAATGGATAAATGTGCTTGGAATTAGGCCAGGCCCAGCCTCCTGCTCCCTGGAGCTGATGTTGGCACCAACCACGTGTCCTTGAGGGGAGGGCAAACCCTGTGGCATCCATGGAGGAAGAGTGTGGGTGTGGAGCTGTCTCCCAAGTTTTTTCCCATCATCTTCCACTCTCTCTTTCTGGGAGCCAGTTCTTCATCAGAAGGAGAAAAAAAAGGTCTTTCTGGATGAATAAGAGTGTCATGGATAAGTTTCTGAAAGGAAGATAATCATGGCCTGAAATCCAAACTGAAGGTCTGATGCCCTCCACTCAGAAATAATATTTCCTCTTCTCCCAGAATAACCTTTTTTTTTCCCTTTTTTAATGGTGCATCTCCTTCCCATGTGGAGGGTTTGAAACCATGTTGGCCAGTCTGTTGGAAACCAGGCTTTTGCCTCACTTGATCAGGTGGATCCCATCCCTTCCTGGCAGTCATGGAATCCCAGCATGGTTGGGGTTGGAAGGGACATTAATGCCCATCCAGTCCCACCCCCTGCCATGGGCAGGGACACCTCCCACTAGCCCAGGTTGCTCCAAGCCCTGTCCAACCTGGCCTTGGACACTTCCAGGGATCCAGGGGCAGCCACAGCTTCTCTGGGCAACCTGTGCCAGGGCCTCCCCACCCTCACAGGGAACAATTCCTTCCTAATATCCCATCTAACTCTGGCAAGGGAAGCCATTCCCTGTGTCCTGTCCCTCCATCCCTTGTCCCCAGTCCCTCTCCAGCTCTCCTGGAGCCCCTTTAGGCACTGGAAGGAGCTCTCAGGAGCTCAGCTCTCCCTGGAACCTTTTCTTCTCCAGGCTGAGGAGCTTTGACTGTCTCAGCCTTTCCTCACGGCAGAGGTGCTCCAGCCCTCTGAGCATCCCTGTGGCATTTTCTGGACTCATTCCAACGTGTCCTCAGTCTCCAAAGGGAGTCTCTTTGTTGTAAAAGCCAAATCCCTGTTGCTGACAGCGGCTGAACATGCAGTTGTCATCCTGCCCCTCCTGCAGCCCTCACCCCTCACCCTCGGGATAGAGGAGGAACCCATCCCTGCCCATGGTCATTGCTCCAGAGCCCTGGGCTCCTGCTGGAAATGCTCCTTGGCTTCAGCCCTGGCCTCTGCCCCTTCAGCTTGCTGGGAGAGCTGCTGGCCAGAAAAAGGGAGCTAAAATAAAACAAGGCACGTGGACTCGCTGGGAAGTTCCCAGACCCTCAGCTGGAGCCTGATGGCCGGACAGAAATTCCCACAGGGATAGTTTAATTCTGCCCAGTTTTCTCTTCCAAGGTCGGTCATTTACAAAAGGGACCCCAGTGGCTGAGGGAAGATGGGTGGAGTTGGAGAGGCTTTAGTTTTAATGCCTGTATTAGGGCATAAGTTAGATCCAATCACTAACCCATGCTAAGGATGCAGCCAAGGATAGAGGGATGAAACTCAGCAATGAAACATGGAATAACTGATGATGGAATGGAGAATTATGGGATCAGTGGGTGCTGCCCGGCACTTGCTGAAGCCAGGGCACATCATGTCCCACGTTCCCTCTTAAAACCTGACCCAGGCAGTTCAATAATCCAGGGATAATTCTGGGAACAACTCCTGAACCTGGGAATCCACGGGCACTGTCTGTGAGCAGCACCGGAGCCTGAGCAGGAGCTGGGAGAGCTCCTTAGGAAAGCTCTGCCTTGCCTTTCGTGTCAGAGTGTCTGGAGTGACTGTCATGGAATCATGGAATGCTTTGGGTTGGAAGGGACCTTAAAGCCCATCCAGTTCCACCCCCTGCCATGGGCAGGGACACCTTCCACCAGCCCAGGTTGCTCCAACCTGGCCTTGGACACTTCCAGGGATCCAGGGGCAGCCACAGCTCCTCTGGGCAACCTGTGCCAGGGCCTCCCCACCCTCACAGGGAACAATTCCTTCCCACTATCCCATCTATCCCTGCCCTCTGGCAGTGGGAAGCCATTCCCTGTGTCCTGTCCCCCCATCCCTTGTCCCAAGTCCCTCTCCAGCTCTCTTGTACCTTTAGGTACTGGAATTCTGCCTAAGGTCTCCCCAGACCCTTTTCTTCTCCAGGCTGAAGTGAGCAAGGAGATTTTTTGTATTTTTGAGCCCAGCACTCCTCAGAAACACTCAGAATGATTTCTGCTCTGTTTTCTTGCAGCCCATCCTCCCTTGATGGTTCTTTTAGGAGCGAGATCTCTCCTCTTTTTCTCTATCAGCTCCATTCACCCCACTTGACCCCTTTCCTGAACTACTTTAGTTCATTTATTTGAGTGGGTTTCCTGGAGTCCAAGTGAGTAGAAATCAGAAGTGGGTTCAGAACACTCAGAACACTCTGAGTGCAGGAATCTGTTGAATGGAAATGGCTCAATCCCTTCTGCTTGTGCAGTGCCTTGCCTTGATCCAGAGGCAGTGTGCCATGCTGTGCCATTTCCCACCATTTTCCCATTAAAAGCCATGGTGTGGCACCAGTTTAGTGCTGGGTCAGGTGGGTCCTTCGCTGGAGCAGTGGCTGTTCAAAGGGCTCAGAGCTTTGAGCCACACAGAAATCCCTCCACACTCACTGCTTGGGATCCATGGAAGTCGTGGAGAAAGAGCTGAAATCTGCATTAAAGTTCCCTTTGTGTGTCCTGGGGTGTTCCTGGCTCAGCCATCCCACATTCCCATGCTCTTGGATGGGGCATTAATGACTCAAACCCACTGCTTTGGTTTGGCCACCCTTTAAGGAGGTGGGAGAAGGTGCAGGGCACAATTGGGAACTTCATGGTGAAATTACACTGGAATGTCTCCAAATCCAAAAGGACATGTCTGACATCCCACATTTTGCCTTTGGGAACTTCCATGTGCAAAAGCTCTGATTAAAAGGTCTGCAAAGGAGGAGCAGATGAGAGATCTTCCCCTGTAGGTGAGGTACCTGCAGAGAGGGGCTCATCCCAATGAAATCTGGGACAAGATGGGCTTTGGGAATGCCTGCCCCTGTCCACTGACCATAGACAGAGGCTGCACAACTCGATTTAGAGCTGGGAGAGGTGACTCCCACCATGCACTGGCCGTGGGTTTACAGCAGGGAGACAGTTTGCTTTCCATCACCAATATCTGCTCTTCTCTTTCACTGCTAAATAAAAAAGAATTAAAAATAAGATGGTCAATTCCTTTAAACTTCAATGAAAAGCCTTGATTTTTGCTCCAGCCAGAGTCATCCCTTCCCTGAATTTGGGAGCCCAAAGAAGTGGGGGCACCTTTCATCCTGCAGCCCCCAAACTGTTGGGTTTGGTTCTGATTTTTATGGCACCTTTCCCTGAGGTGAGAGCTCAGGAGCTCAAGGAATGCTGGGGAGCAAATCTAACGGGAGCCTGAGCTGTGTGCCTGACTGAGCCACCCCAAAATTTTGGAGCCTCTTTCTGCTGCTGCCTGTGCTTGTGCAGCCAACTCTGTGTTCTGAGTGAAAAACATTCAAACCCCCGAAGTGGTGGGTTTTTCCAAGAGCAGGAGGTACCTTGGTGGGAAATAACTGTTCGTTTCCCCAGGTGGTTGGTTGGTGATGCCACGGGAAGAGTGCAGGACTCTGGAGAACAATTCCCAGAGGAGACACAGCCCAGAGATCTGGGAGCTGTCGAATTCCTCTCTGAACAACCCTTTGTTAACCCCAGTTTTCCTAAATCCTTTTGGCTTTCCCGCAGGTGAACGTCACTCGGGAAGACTCCCCCAGTGAAGATCCCGTCTTCCTCCGCACCCTGGGGAAGGGAGATTGGTTTGGAGAGAAAGCCCTTCAAGGGTAAGTGCTCCTGCTGATGCAGTTATTCCCTTGGCATCATTCCTCAAGGATTTCTGCAGCCCTCAGAGGGCTCTGCCCGCTGGGGAGGAGATTGGGAGTGGGTTTATTCTTTGGGATGGGAAGAAGGTCCTCGGGGGGGGGGACATCAAATCCAGAGATCTTGCCTTGCTGCTGGACACCAAAAAGTGATTTATCTTTGCACTGTCTTCCCCCACCGTGCATGGGAAGGTCCAGATGTTTGGATTTTTGCATCTCTGGAGCGTTATTCCCGCATGGAAGAGCATGGTCAGTGTTGTCCTGGCAGGGCTGAAGGCAGGGTGGGGGTGGTGGCATTGAAGTTCTCTGGCTGTATTTTCATGGCTTTGGTGGATGTGGGGGTTGGATGGGAGTGACCTCTTTTATAGAAACCTTTTCCTCTGGGGATAATCCAAAAGAAGAGAAGCTGGAAATCCACATTGGACAGGTGATGGTTACAAAAATAGCCTTGATTTCCATGGGAAGGAATAGGAAGAGCAAAGCAGGAATTTGGGACACTCTGCCCTTCCTGGGAACTCTGTGAAAGAGCTGTTGGGCTTTTTTTTGGGGGGTGCTGTGGTAACTGTTGTGTGGTAATTGTTGTGTCCAGTCCCTCCTGTATCAGCCTTCTCCCAAAAAGAAGGTGGTGGAAATACTTGAAGCCCAAATTTCAAGTCACTTCCTGGCAGCCAGAGATGCCTCCAGCACAAAACTCACCTCACCCCTGTGATTCTAGACCTTTACTACAAAGTAATGTGGCTTTTAAACAAATATCCTTATTTTTATTCCATCCCTGCATAACTCCAGTGGCACACAGCATCCCTAAAGTGGGAATTTCTCAGCATTTTAAATCCAGTATTTTAACTGACTGGCTCAGATTGAAATTGGTTCATTTACAACACTTGTCTGCATATATTTGGATATTCAATATATTGAATACCTTTGATCTTCTGAGGCTAAATGGGAACTTCATAATTGAGAGCATGTTCTCAGCATGCAAGAAAAGCATAATCCTGCCATGGCCTGGCAGTGTCCAAGGCCAGGTTGGACCTGGGACAGTGGGAGCTGTCCCTGCCCGTGGCAGGGGGTGGAACTGGATGAGCTTTGAGGTCCCTCCCAACCCAAATCATTCCATGTTTCTAAGGTTTACTGGTAAAATTTTAAAAAGCTAATCAAAGATGAAAAAGTCAAAGAAAATGTACTAAAAATTGAATTTTATCTGACTATCTCAGATCTAACTGTGTTTGACAGCAGTAGAATCATCCTAAAGGTTTCCCAGGGTGCTGAACTGGGATGTGTCCCACAGTCCTGACAGGCACTCCTTTATTAGGGATTTATGGAGCTTCTGGATGCTTTGCATTACAATATTACACATTATTCAATTTGAACCTGGCTACAGAACTGCTGGGCTTGTTAACAGACTGCAGGGATGGTTCTGGAGGAATTCCACCTCCCTTGGAAAAAAAAAATCATGGGATCCCAGAGTGGTTTGGGTTGGAAGGGACCTCAAAGCCCATCTCATTCCATGCCCTGCCACGGGCAGGGACACCTCTCACTAGCCTTTATTCCATAGGTGTAGAACATAATCACAACTAAAACGACATTTCTCCCTGACAGTAGAAAATAACACTGAAATTCTGTGTGGAGCTGCCCAGCAGGAGCTCGGAGAACAGGGCTCTCCCAGTCCCTCCCAGCAACATCCCTGGCACACCAGGGACGTTGGGCAATAGCCCAGTTTGCAGCTCACACCAGCTGGTCCCCGGAATTGCCCGGGATCCCATTGCACAGGGACAACAGGAGTGGGGAGATGATGATCCACAGCATCCCCCAGGGATCTGTGGCCTTCCCGGGGAGCTGCAGGCAGCAGATGTGCAGTTTACAGTCTAACAGGGCAGGATTTGTGGCGTGCTCAGCAATCACTCACTTGGGGGGGTGTTTACTGGAACAAGAGAACATTTTATAATATTTGGAAGGCTGTTTACCATCATTATTTCCAGCAACAGGGAAATAAAGTCCATTCAAATAAACAATTCAAATCAGTGCAGAAAAGCAAATTTTTCGGAATATGATGGTTCTGAGCAACCTGGTCTAGTGGAAGGTGTCCTTCCCCATGGCAGGGGCTGGGAGCTAAATGGTCTTGAAGGTCCCTTCCAACCCAACCATTCCATGAATGGTTTTCATCTCCTTCAGGAATTGTTCCCCCGTAGGCCAACTCAAAGGTTTGGAGCCATTGCAACCTGGGATGGTGGGAGATGTCCCTGCCCATGGCAGGGGGTTGGAATGAGATGAGCTTGAAGCTTCCAACCCAACCCATTCCACGATTCTGTGAGTGCCTCCTTGGTGCTACGTTATATATTCCATCAGACCCTGGTGTTTTGGGTGCTGTTTTCGTGGTTTTGGGATCCTGGAGGATCTGCTACGTTATATATTCCATCAGACCCTGGTGTTTTGGGTGCTGTTCCCGTGGTTTTGGGATCCTGGAGGATCTCCAGCCCCGCAGTGGTGGCACGTGGCGAGGGGCTGATGTTCTGGAGAGGGGCTTTGGTAGAAACTCAGCACTGGGTTCCTGATGCTTCCACCAAACTGGCCAGTCTGGGGTCCAGTTGGGGTTTGTGGTGAGGGCACTGTCACCCAGTTTGAGCCAGCTGAGGTGCTGAGGGCACCTTTGGGACTGGCAGGAATTCCGTCAGGGCGTGGTTTATGGAAACGCGTGGGAATTTGGGAAGGGTCGGCTCAGGGGTGGCACCACCAGAGGAAGCTCCTCTTTGGCACCAAGACCCCCTGGCAAAAGGTGTCCTCCCTCACCCTTCCCGTTTGTAAAGCTAAAATGCACACGTTTTTATTATTATTTGTTAGAAAATGTGTTTGTGGTGAAGAATGAACTGTGGCCTTTGGGTTGTGCAGGAGGTGCTCTGCTCTGGGGACCATTACAGTGATATTTGAGTTATTGGAGCAAATTTATATATAAATACAAATAATTTTTATATATGCACACCATATATTATATTTAATTTTATATATATATATTGTATTATTATATTGTATATCATTTACATATGAATTACTGGTTACATCCACACTGATCTGAAAATGAGGGTCACAATTCCTATCCCTCCTAGGGCAGCACTTCTGCTCTAAAGAGTATCTGTGCTGTTTCCCACTTACATCTCCACCTTTGGAGGCTCCCAGGGAATTGTTTTCCCAAAGTTCCAGGAATCATCTCTCCTCTGACTGCCCCAAATCCCCGGGGGTATGTTTTGTGCCCTGAGAATCTGGAGCAATAAAACAACATCCGTCTGCCTGGGCGGGAATGTGGAAAGGCAACTTCCCTGCTGACAATCCCCGAGCTTTACACTGTGTTTTCCCAGAGAACAACTTAAAAACTCTGTGTTTCCTTCAAAACTTCATCACCAAAAACCTGGAAGGCTGTTGAAACCTTTTTCTCCCCTCCCTTTTTTCCCCTTTTCCCCCTTTTTCTCTCCCCTTTTTCCCTTTTCCCCCTATTTTCCATTTTTTCCTCCTTTTCCCCCTTTTTTCCCCTTTTTAGCCCCTTGCTGCCCTGTCTCTTTTCTTGCCCTTTCCAGTTTATTTTATATGTTTCCTTTCTTTTTTTCCCAGAAATTCTTCTCCCCTCTGGCTCACTGATAACTTTTAAAGGAATACATGGATTCATTTACTCGGGTCCGAAGGTGAAGGAGTCAAACTGATTCCTGGCAGTGAGAAAAAAAAGGACCTTGGAAAATGATAAAATTTTATTTTATTTTATCTTATTTTATTTCCTTCCCCTTTCCCCCCTTTCCCTCCCTTTTTCTCCCCCTTTTTCTTCCCCTTTTTCTCCCTCTTTTTCTCCTCTTTTCCCCGCCTTCTCCCCCTTTTCCCCCCTTTTTCTCTCCCTTTTTCCTCTTTTTCTCCTCTTTTCCCCCATTTTAGCCCCTTTTCTTCCCCTTCCCCTCCCCTTTTCCCCCCATTCCCTTCCCTT